ACCTGTGGAACTTCCTCTTGGCAACGCTGGGGGGCGTCTACGTGCCGTGCCTTGGTTCCATGCGTTAGATCAGGTTTTTTTTTCCTTGACCTGACCGTTTCCATGCCGCGAGATTACAGTGATTTATTAGCCTTCCTTTGTCTCGGTATACCCCCTTCTAACTCCCCGGGGGCTTCAGCCCTCTTAAAGCACAGCACCGGTCCGGAAGGATTCAGGATGGGGCTCACCGACAAACGCCTGGGTTTCTTGTAGCCAACCACACCCGAATATGCGACACAGACGGAGCTAATCCCCCTCTTTGTCTCATGGTGGCTCTTTAGGTCCGTCGTGTCCGAGTCTGTAGGCCGGTGACGACGATCGTTGCAGGGGGTGGGGGGCGTTGCAGTGCAGTAGGGCCAAGCGCAGCGGCTGACAGTGGGATGGCGGCTCATCATGGGACTTTTCCAGAATCGCATGGCGCTCCGGGTTGGGTTTGTCACATGGAGATTCTAGATTTTGCGGTGATCGGCCTGTTCTGGATTGGGTAATTCAGATGGTGATGATAGCGTGATAGTTCTTTGTGTGTGTTTCCTACATGCCTTGGCTGGGTTGGGTGATAACTTGTGCTGAGCAGTGTAGATGCGTAGCATTGTGAGTGATTTACAGGGGAATGAATGTCCTGTCCTGTATGTTGCCTTGGTCCAAGTGGAAAGACGGCGAGTTGGTTGTGCGTTTCTTGCTCGTCTTGCGTTCTGTTTGACCCTTTTATGAGTGCTCAGGTTTCTTGTTCACATGCAGTATCAAGTTTACTCGGGGCGTCCATGCTGATATTCAAAACGTAAAGCTTTTCCATGCCCTCACGATCGTTTCTCTGTTTAGTTTCCCAAAATTGATATCGCCGAAGAGTCGGAAGAAGTCGGCTGCGCTCGCCTCTTATCTTTGGATGCCTCTGTCACGGTAGGGCCGGACGTGCTGCATACTCTGTAAATCAGGTGATGGGTGAAATGATATCTCAAGTTCAATAAAACTTGCTTTTCCACCATGGAGCCGAAACCTCCAAGATAACAGAACATGATATCAGGCTACAAATGACGTTGTCCCAACCCTAAAGACAATGGGTGAGGAAAGCATCTCACTACACACACCAGGGTAGGTTCCTATTCACTGAAATTTAGGTGTTCCATGTCGCCAAAAGGCTAGCAGGTTCATAGCTTTCAACTCAGAAACAAAATTCAAACCATTCGTTGTCTCGTATATCAAGCCACCTACCCTGGTGCTCACGATCCAGAATGCCGGAGCACGGGTTGCACATCTAAACCTGATATCTAACGAGCCCTGTTTTCTGCTATATCACAGCCCCTAGAAGCCCTGAACCTGCTATTCCACGAATCAGTCTTTTCTTTCTTGAACTTTGTTTTGGAAAGCTCCTTGTCCGTTGCTCGTAGCCGTTCTAGCCCCAGCACTCAACCCCTTGCCAAGTAACTGGTTTATTTTCTATTGACAACATCTCTCATTCATTCTTCTACAGCCGCAGGTACGAATTACCAGCAAGAGCCAGCAGTTACCTTTTATTATGGCTGGGGTCGCCGAACTAAGCGCGTTCGAAGGTGCCATGAATGCCCCATCAAGTATCAGAAACATGGGCACCGTAAAGCTCTATCCCAGATATCTCGACTCCCAAAACTAGGTCACAATATTTAGAGACAGCATCTTAGAAAACTGGTCAATTGCCCAGATCTAAAAGTATCACTAGAGAGCAATGATTATTGTGCTAAGAATGAAAAGTATGGCCATGTCAGAGTGCTATGCCACAACTTCACGGTAGAGGCAGGCGAGCAAGCCAGAAAACGCTTCTCTCACAGTCAAGCATTGTGCTGTCCCAAAAGAAGTTACAGCTGTATCAAAAATGCAAGTCAAAAAGTAACAGTTTGCCCGAGCTGAGACTCGAACTCAGGTTTCCACGGTTCTGAAATTGATCCACAACGTGGTGCCCTAACCACCTAGACTATTCGAGCGTATCATGGAGTGCATGTGCAGCGCAGACTCTATCATGAACCAGCGGTGCACTGGTTCTGGTTGTTGATTTGATGTTCAATTCAATGTAATCGATTAAAATGTGGATGATACGGTAACTGGGCTGTTACGCTGTAGCTCATACTCTCCTGGTTTTCACTCTGTCATGTTTGATCCACGATGGGGCAGTAGAAGCTCTTCACTTCTTGGAAACATTGTTTCATCACCAGTGCAGGATTCTTCTATCTATTTCGCACAGAAAACTCGATTTTGCGTAGAAGAGACTTGACTGCATGTAAGTCGTTTCGATGAATGCCATGAGGCTATGATCTCAACTACTGAAAGAAAATAATGGCGTGTTGGAAGTAACTTTGGTGCCAGGTATGGAAATCTGGTTCCATTACGTACAAGGTGTTCTCAAAGGCTTCGAGGAGACCCTATTTGAACTTCTGAGCCCATCGTATGCTTTGTTTCAAGCCTCTCACACCAAGTATCTTTCAGGCTCTCGTGTATCCCCTCCAATGGGAGCTTGAGCCAGCGATTGAAAATTCTCGCTTAGTGGAAAAAGACCTCTGTTCCGGAAATAGTGGAATCCCCCCAGAAATCCCAGCAGTCCTGAGCTAGAGATCGTGGGTTGATATGGGCAGGGAAATGGCCACCAAGTATCTCCGGTGCCTTTTTGCTGAAGAAGGTAATATTCCCTTGGCGTTTTGCCCATTCCAGAGGCTGTTGGGAGTGGTGTCAGTCAATCAAGTTATAATCGCCGAGATATACGCCAAGCGACGTCAGAGGTCACAAACCGTGTAATACGCAGCGTCGCCATAGTAGTTAAGCACGCCCACTGGCTGAGCCACGAAGGGGAATGCCCCGTCCAGTGTTCCCTCCTACATAAATTATGCTAAGTCAGTAACTTCCCCGTTATGTTAGTCTTTGAAAGTTGGCTTACCCTCTTTGCTTCTTTGTACAGTCGCAAGCCACCGTACGGACCTTGGATGTAGTTAAGCATCGACCAAGTAATGAGCTCCTCAACCCCCCAGTCGTACCCCGGCGAAAGGGACCTCATTCCCATGTACTGCCAAGCAGTCCACGCAATTGGGCTATCTGTCATACCGATAGCGACTTGCAGTGGCACGCTAGACTCAATGGCCCAATAATCCAGGGTCCAAGTCAGACCTGGGTCGTTCATGAACTGGAACATGATCGTCTCCTCCGATGTGGTCTGGTTATTTTGAAAACGAACAATGTCATCGGGGCTCGGCGCGACGCTAAAGAGGTTGGACAAGATGGAAACCAGCGAGTCGGGAAAGTCAGCGGCCATGAAGCGCAACGTGTGGCTTCCAAAATCTCCACCTTGGCCGACGTATTTTGCATAGCCTAGTTGCTGCATGAGATGATCGAAAGCTTGTCCCATGTCTCGTAACCCAAGGCCAGGGAATCGCGGGGCAGGTGAGAATCCAAAACCCGGCAGGTCAGGGGCCACGACATGGAATGCTGGCAGGCTTGAATCCGGGGGGCTTGTCAGAAGATCGATTATGCCGGCAACCTCATGGAAACTGCCCGGCCATCCGTGGATAAAGAGAAGCGGGATGGCATCTTTTCGGTCGGACCTGTGATGGATGAAGTGGAGAGGAATTGGGTGTGTGTAGTTTTCACCGGCTCGGACAATCGTTGTAAACTGCTTGAACTTTTCGTTCATAGCTGCTTCAACCTTGCGCCAGTCATACTCATCGGACCAATGGCGAGACAGGTTTTGCAGAACTCGAGAGGGAACGCCATCGACGAACTCGTCTTGGTTGATATCTACTGCGACTCGTAGTTGGCTCACCTTTTGCTTGGTCACCTGGATAAATTCATCATCAACCTTTATCGAGAAAGGCTGAGGATGGTCAGAGAAGCTTGCTTCAAAATTGAGAGATTGCATCAAACTTGTGTCGTTTGCGTCGCCGGAGACAGCTTGAAGGTAGCTGAAAGAAAGAAATGCTGCCTGAAGGATGCGTTTGACCATGATGAATACAGTAATAATTTGAAGTAAAACTCAGAGTGTGGATGGAAATGAAACAGAGTTCCTAACAAATATCATGCTACGGTAGGTATATATATGGAATCTTCATTCGACCTCCACTCAATCAATCCCCCATTCTCTGTTGAATGCCCGCTTTCATTTGTAATTGATATACTTCGGTTCCAAATTATATCCGAGATAAAATCCTTCTATTGACTAAGCTTGTCCCCTTCTCAGTTAATCGTGATGTTGCCTCGGAGTCCGCATTACGCTTTACATTATTAGCAACGGGGTTGGCACGCATCCTTCGGATTCCGGACAGGGTCTCTATGTTTCCTAGACTCCGGATGGCCTCTGATAGACCCAGCTAGGTCTATTAACTTAATTTCAATTAAGGTCCGCAATATCGCCATGGATGAAGATGGCGTCAAGAAAGGCGTAAAGCCCTCTACTATGCACGGCCCTTATACTCACGCTGGAGGAGAGACAAGCCCGAGACACCTTCATCCATGTTTTCATGATTCTAGTAGGAGACGTTAACCACAACGAGAGTATCTAAAACATGCTGCAACTCATTCTAGCCATACAGTTGCCGCCTCCGCTGTTGCTACGTCTTGGCATTCCAGCCGTCAACGCTCACACAAGAACTGACAAGGGTGTCTCGTGTGGCAATCTCCTCTCCATGTTGAAATTCTTAGCCGCGTTGTGCTGGATCGTTGCTTCCTGTTGATGCCTCCCTAGATTATCATCGTATTTCTTCTTCCAAACCCTGTCATACTTCGTGTTGAAGCAGTCTCTACGAGATCTATCTATCCAATGCGTGGCTGTTGGTTGCTGTCGGGTCACATGTCCTCTTTGGTCGGCGCTTAGCATTCCCCGCTCAGGCTGGCGAGTTATTTGTTTCTTGCTTCTTCCATCTTTAATGCGTATTTATTGCCGCTGGTTTTTTCCCCTTATTATTATATCCTTCTCAGTCTTATTGTTTCTTTCCATCGCACTCTTTACTATGGCATCTTCCAGCGCTATCTCACAGGTCCCATCTGATATTATTGCCTACATCCTCTCTCATCTGGAAACGATCGAGGACCTGTCCGTCGTCATTCAAAGCCATCGGATCTTTCTCAACGCCTTCAACGACGGCCCCTGCTCAATTGCTCGCGCCATTGTTAAGAGCCAGGTTCCAAGCGACGCCGCCCCTCTTCTTGTCGCAGTGCTAGAGGCTTCCCGTATCGACCATGGAGCCGGCATAGATACATCTCGTGAGATTCTGAATCGCTTCAGGCGCGCTATCTCCAATCCCAGTCAGAGTCAGCCAACATCATTCTTTCTATCAAAACTTTCGCTTTCGGAGCTCGCCTTTTGCAGTCGCAACTACGTTACTGCTGAGTCGCTTGCGCATAAACTGGCCGCTGAGGTGAAGCCCATCGCCATCCAGAAACTTGATTTTGGATGCTCTGCTTTACCGCACCTCACCTCGACTGAGAAAACTCGACTTGTAAGGGCATTTCTACGATTTCAGCTCCTGTGCTATCTTTTCTGTCCTCCAGCTAGTGCCTGTCCTTCATCGGACGACGGTGACTGGAAGAAAAGGGCATATATGAATAAGATGCGCTTCCTCTGTAGCTATTCTCCCTGGGTGAATGATCACCTGATGTGCGTTTTCGCCTGGCTGCAGCGGATCCTTCGTCAAGGCGAGTATATTCCCCGACTGATAGCCTTGTGCCCTCTCCAAGCTATGCTCTAACTCCCATTTCTATCTAGCTTTTGACGAGCTTGCATGGCATGATGTGGATTGGGGCGAGTTGCCTGTCGATAACAATATTGAACCGGAGGGAAACCTTCGTCTTCAGGGGTTTGTAAGTGACATCGATACACTTAAGCCCCCCATTTTCCTAGCTTGATATGATGTTTTCTTCTCTGCTACTACTTTCATTACCCATATCTAACTCTGGCGCCTCGTCAGCTTTCTAGAGGACTCGGGTTACTAGATGAAATTGCCCGTACTGATTCATATGCCTCACGGGCTCGTCTTTTGCGGCTGGACGATTGTCCGTTACTGGATTACGAGCGGCTTCCCTCTCAGCAATTCAGCCACTTTTTTCCTAGCCAATTTGTCGTTGACTCCCTGGGCCATTTACGGCTGCAAGACTGGACAGCGGATCAACTGGGGCTTCTCTCAGAAGGAGGAGACGGGCCGCGGGACTCGACGGGATCGAGTTCGTGCCTTGTGTGGCTCGGAGCCAACGCTGGACGCAACATCTTAGGGCAAAGGTCTGATGTGCAAGATATGAATGACGATACGAACCTGTGGCAGTTGGGTTACAACATCTGGGACTGGGAATTTCAAGATTCCACCCCCTCGACGAGCGTTGTCAAGAAAGCTTGCCGTGAGATGCGATCCATGCCTCCTCCTTTCAAGCCAGGTATGCAGTATGATGATGAGGCCATATCGCGATCTCAAAGCCAGCGCTCGGATATATGGTTGGCAGGAGGACGCGGCTACTGGCCCATGGGCGGTGCGATTGATTTTGGCGGCATACAAGGGCTGAGCCCAGAGAAGATGGCAGATCTGCTGCACAAATGGGACACCAATATGGATATGTAAATTAGTTCCACTCAATCAATCGTCATATTGCCTCGGAGCCCGCTTTCCATCGTCAGCGAGTGGGTTCACACGCATCCTTCGGATTCCGGATAGGGTTATCCATATTTGCTTGACTCCAGATGCTCTGCGTATGAAATTTTTATCAATACGAATTTGGTAATTCCCGGCAAAAGTTCTGCGACTAGAATATAAGAGTAGATGTCCATGCCCACACGATTATCCATACACACAAACTAGCTACATGTCATCATGATTTCGCTCAATAACATGCCAAAACTCGCCCGCCAACCTATCAACATCCACACCCCAGTGGAAATGCCAATTTTCAACAGCTTTACTATACTCGAAATCGAATAAACAGACGGGCAATATATCATCGAAAACCGCCGGATTGCGGGCTTGAGAATCCTGTGCTCTTACAACATATTCCAAGCATCCTGGGTTCTGACGCCTTCGTGAAATGAGACGCTCTTTCTCCTCTCTCCCATAAGTAGTCATATCCACACCACTTTCAGCGACCTTGTTAAGCCACTGACATATACCTGATGATAAAACGTCAAACAATTTCTGCTGATTTCGAAGCACTGCTGTGCTACCACCCTGACCGGCTCTTCGACAGTAGCGGGCAGGAAATCCATCTATAAATAGGGCCCGAATGACTGAAATAAGTGTTGACCCTTCCCATTCGAGGTGAGGTGCATACGAATACTGTTCTGTTGCACGGTCAAGTTGAATATGTTGATTCCAATGTATCTCCTGATGTTGCATCATTCGAACTATGGTACGGCATATTGCTCCCCACTTTCTCTTTTTTTGCCCAAGCTCGCGAGGTCGAAGCAACTGTGAGACTGCCAGTCGGTGAGGGCGAGTAAACCGTACCATCCCAATAGCGGCAGAGTGAAGAAGGGCCACCCTTAGCTCGGGCTGTGTTGAAGTTCCTATGCTACTCAGCGTGCTGACGCATTTCTGACCTAGAAGGTACGTAAAAACGTCTGGATCTGGGTGCTTAATCGAGTGGCTGCCGTGAATGTATGTCCTTGCTACCCCAATCAGGTATATGGCTGGCTGCTGGAAGAAATGAGGAGCAACTAGTTGTTGGAAACGAGCCAAAGAAGTAGGATCAGGTGTTGCAGCGGTGCTGCAACCGACCAGAAAAATCCAATCAGACTCTCCATATCCATTCTCGCTGTTGGATGCTTGACGACACATCAACAAAGTCTTTTCAATCGCATTCCAGTTGTATTGCCAATCTTTCAATAGAGAATTCAAAAGAAGGATGTGACCTGGATTCCTACCAAAAGTTAGTCATTAGGATAACTACAACCAGAAAAATACTTGCAATCCGTTAGAGGTTCCTTCGTCAACACAGTCGTTGAGACCAAGAATAAGCAGTTTCTCACATAATGTAAGATTGAAAGAGAAGGCAGCATACTGCTGATGTCAATAACAGGAACAACACGGTTGGCGGGATAAATGTATCTGCACTTACGTGGAGCAGAGAACAGCCATTCACATCGCGTACAAAAGGGGATGCTTTTCGATGAGTGAACAACAGCAGCACCTCATCGAGATTACCCAAGGATACGGCTCGGAAGATAGCGTCATCTTCGGCTAGGACGTAGTATACTCGAAGACTAAATGGGATGCTCGCCTTGCGCTTCTGGATAATAACCTCCCAATTCTTCAAGAGAAAGATTCTTGGAGAGTTATGGATTTTTTGATGATGCTGATGTGTTATATTCGTGATAAGATCGGTATGTAAATCGTCCATGATCGAAACTTCGGTGATATCTGCTTTATTGAAGGGCGATGAAGCACGGTATTCATGGTTTGTGTTTGATTTAAGCATTGCGTCTCTATCAACAGAAGACTTGTTTCTGTCATGAAATAATATGGACTGTTCCAGCTGGATTTCCTGAGATGCACAAATATTCAAGCTAGAGCAAGATTAGCTCCAGAAAATCACCACGTGTAGCAGTGAGCGCTTTGGGTGTAGGTTTAGGTTGACATACAAGCTCAGCATATTTGTCATCTCCTGGAGTTTTTGTTCGGCTTTGACTAGATTGGAGCTTGAAATAAGCTTTACCGATGACAGCTTTCGCCAGACCTTGGCCTGGTCACCGATCTGATGTAGGGCTTGATCGATAACTTCGGATGCAGATTCTAAATCCATTTCGCATTTTTCGAAATAATCAGTGCGCCAGTGATTCATTTGATTATGTGGGAACATTTTGTTTAAACCCGCCTGGTGCTGCTGTTTGGCTATCCGGATTGCTTCTCGAAGGCTATTGATGCGGTGTTGATTCATCCTGAGCCGAGTGGGAAGGTCATCAACCTCAATTCGCAAACGGTTTGTCTCGACTACAGTTCTCCAGAAACCCGAAGCTACCGAAAGCATATCCATTTTGGTTTGTGGAAGACTAAATGTTGAGGAGGATGGTATTACAGTGGAAAGGAACGGAGAGCAAAAAATGAAGAACGCAAGGTAAGATGAAGAGAAGGGCGATGAGGGACTTAAATCAATCCTCGATTAAAAGCATTTTGAAAGATGCAGTTTGCCTAATCCTCATGCACAGGCGCCTAATCTGAGGAGACGGCGAAAGCTTACTAGATACTGTGATATCATTTGTCCGAACGGTAGCCACACAGCTTGACGGCTTTGTCAAAGTGCATAATTAGGGATGGCGCAGAATAAGCCCGCATGTCCATATTTTGTTAAGCTGCTGTGCATTAATAACCATTTTATTGGATGCGGTAGTTAAGTCAGCGCTCAACGCCTCTTTCGCTTTAAATGGTCTGTGTTTTGATGTATTATTATTTATAGCGAAAGAATATACCTGCTATAAATCCCTTTGTATATGTCATCTTTAGTCTCTTGAACAGAATACCTTTCAACTCAGGGCCCAACCATGCCTAAGCTGCTAAAAGCCTTGAGAAAGTATGTTCTTCTTGGATATATAGATGACAAGGTGTATTTTATCTTTTGTATTAGGGGGAAAGTATAAGCGATCTTGTCTGATGATTAGAAAAAGATGCCCTAAGTACGTCGATGGGCACTACTCTTTATAATGTCTTTCGGCTATTGTCTATAAAAAGATTGACGTGCGTGTTGATCCTGAAGACGAAGCTGGAATTTACCCTCCCTTCTTTATCTTCTAGATGTATCACTGACGGGAGGGTTTTGAATTGAATTGATAAAGATGGTAAAACTGCGCTTCCTCGAGAATCTGATCTCCCCTTTTTAATGCTAGCAGGTGCAAGCTTCTTGCTACTCCTATTCATGAATAGCTCCTACTTCATGCCTAAGATCGTATTTGCTCGCTTACTCTTACTTTCCCAACCAATGAAAATCCCCTCTCTGCAAAGTGTTTGGTCTGTTCCGTTCTAGTAACAGTTGGAGCATTTTGTATGTTTGCATTCAGGGCAGGCTGCACCTGGCGAGGTGTTTAGCGCTCGGCAGTCGCACTAGTTAGATTAGTGACTATGGTTAAGCTAACAGCAGACATTGGTTCCAAACATACACAATGCCAAACCATAGCCAACTAGTTAATTTAGCACCAGCATGCTCTCCCAGAATAGATACATGTAAAGGAGATGATCTTACGCTAGAGCTCGGACTCATTGGCATACTCACTGCCACCTCCAAGCATTTGCGCTCGGCGACGGTTTGCTTATCTTCGGGTCGGGAGCTAGTTCGAGGAGCTAGGCGGATGATGAAGCCGCCCATTATGATCATGCGAAGTAGTCTTTGGAAAGACAGTCAACAGTGGGAATGAGGTGACACGAAGAGCAGAGAGACGGGGAGATCGTGGTGTTTATGTTGTAAATATCGGACTTGGGGAAGGTGCAAAGGGGTGTTTGCAGGAATCCCTATTGTCAGGCAGAGTTAAGGTGAACAACTATTAAAATGAGATAGAATAGGATCTATTAATGCAGGCCAGAATGGAAAGATAGCGGAATAGGGGGGGAAGAGGGGGCTTATGATAGGGATAGAGAAGAAGAATAAGAACAAGAAGAGTCTTTGTTTGGTTGATGTAGGGTAGGGTAAGAGATATGTGAAAGCAGTATGAGTGAGTACGTGGACTGACGACAAAGTTGGTAGGCCAAGCGGGAGGAGGAAGAGCCGAAGGAGCCGATGGCACCTGGTTGGGAATATTTTGTTGGACAGTGAAAATTGAAGTCAAATCGATCAGGCACTTGCGTCTGCATACTCTTTATACTTTGTTCTTTCCCTTTGTACCTATACTTTGTGTGAGCCGCTCCGGGGTAAATCTGGTTGGACTGACGCTAGTGGGGCTGGCCCCTAGAGCGGCATGGATGTTGTCACTCAAATGGTACGTTTTGATCGGCTCCGGGGCGGGCTCTCCCCAAGTTGCAAAGGTAAGTTGAGCATGGGAGTTAGCAATGCAAAAGCCAAAAGCCTTCAGGTGATTTCCACAATGTCATTCCACTGGCAATGATGCCACACTATGGTTTCGGGCCATTGACATGGCCATTGCACAGTGTTAAATAAATAGGAACCCCAGCAAAGCTCATTGACACATACACGCGGACCAAATTTCCGAGATGTTGCCACCGTTGAGGCATCGACCTTTGGGTTACGCTACTGTGGTAGTATGGAGACCAAACAACTTGAAATGAGCCAGTGTTCATTATAAAGCTCGAGCTGACCGACCCTTGCTTTAACCAACCTCTTTTCACATGCAAAAGGGTCAGCCATTTCAAGGAAGGTCCTGAGTCACATTGCATTGAAAATGCATGACATAATCCGGGTCTCCCTTCCAACCAGATTATCGCGCCGCTCCCTAGGTATGTGCCTGCATTAGTCCAGCCTCAGGCGGAACAACTAACATATAGCCATCTCCATTGGCCTCACTGTTCACTGTTTTCTCTCCTACACTACGTGTACATGTACCCCGGTAGGTACTTGAAGAGACATGGACGCCGCTTTCCGCGGTCGCAAATTGTGGGGGTGTATGCGGTCAGATGTTGACGGACGCAACTGCGTGCTCCCCTTGGTGAAGGTTTCCCTTCCATAGCATGGGTGTAAGCTGCGCGTGCATGGCCCGCGCTTAACAGCCTGCAGCAAATTAAATATCATCAATTATCGCTACCAATAAAAGAAGTATACGATGGCTCAGATTTTAGTATCCAATGGAGGCGCCACAAAACCCCGAACGCAGTCCGCCTTTTCTTGTTTAGCGCGTTCTCATTTACTGTACCACATCAGCTATTATCTCCAAGGGAATACGATCGTACCTGTATCAGAGAATTGAGAGATGAAAATACTTTCGTGCCCCCTGCTTTTCAGGCGTACCCCCAGTAGCTACAAAAAACTCTGTCCTCTCGTGCCTCAGCATCTTGCCTAGTTGAGTCTGACGATATAATAACTTCACAGCTACAAACATCAGTATCATCGACTGCCTGCCTGTTTCCTCTGCGTAACAGTCAACCGCGAGCTTGTCGTTCCTTACCTATCGCCATGCCTTTAAAACGCACGAAGTCACAACCTGGAAACCCATCTAAACAGTCTAAGCTCTGGACGACTTTGGCTCGTCTACCGAAGGATATTCACGATTATGTTTGGGAGCTCGCCTTGAAGTGCTTGGATTGGTGTAAGGCGGGCGTACGAAGGAAACCGGGTGAAAGAGGGTAGTTTAAATAGTCATTCGACGAGCGGCTCGTCCTGACGGCAAGTGCGTCATCTGTAGGAAGGTTTACAGAGTGTTCATTCCGCACGACTGCAGCCTTAGGCTAGTAGAGCTTATTTATACCTTTCGTATTCATTAGCTTGAAATGTCATGTCTGGCATCTTTCATTAGTGTTTTTAACTTTATAATCGAACTCTCTCACCTGTTTGGGAGCTCGCCATCGAAAATAAGAATGCTCTACCTGAAGCCCATTTTTTCAAAGTCCTCGCCCACCCTATCTCGTGCTACCAACCAAGAAAAAAAAGGATCAGATCGTAATTCTTGGGCTCATATGCACACCCAACTTGTTCCCGTCGGATGGGACTACAAAAGACCCCCAATATAGATCCTACCAAACCCAAGTAGACAGATTAGATGTTGGCAGAAAACGATTTAGCATATCTGCTCACCGGCCACCTGTAGAATATCTGTGTCGAATCACGCGAGGCTGTAATCCGGCATTGGGGAAAATACGCCCTCCCAGTTTCACATGCAAACACGGTGACATGACAGTTGGCTCTTCATACGACAAAAATGCAAATTTTATTTGACGGTGCGGCCCCAGGATCTTTTTGAAAGAGACGTAGAGAACATCGTGTTTCTTCAAATCAACGTCAGAACGCGCAAACCTAAGATTTTTGGCATTCTTATGGACCTTGCCCGGTTTCAACGTGAAATTCTGCATCGCCCGAGTCGTGATAGTGTACCCCAGTTTCCTACATAAACTTATTTATACTAGCGTCCTCGTTGAAGTAGAGATTTTGGAGACACTTCCGTGGTCCAACTCCCTTATATGTCGATTAGCCATAGTCAGCACTATTCAGTTAAGAAACTGCTTCCCTCGATTTGAATCATGATTTCCATATGTATTTCATACCAAGATACGCGGTCGCGGAAGTGATAAAAGTACCCTCGCGATGTTAACCGAAGCTCACCTGCGGTTTTGATTCGGTATCTCGCAGCTGTGCTTGATTCTGCAGGGCGCGTATCTCCTCTACATAGGTCTCGATATGAGGGGTGATAAGGTCCTTTACAGGCTTTAAGCAGCTATCTCAGAGTATATCGAGCCGCTTAGGCTCGTGCTGGACTTCCTTGACGGTGAAACGGGAGGGCGGCAATCTTATGCCAGGGAAGTAGACACCACCATGAGGAAGGGCGATATTTGTTGTTATAGAACGGCGAATCATGACTGACCTCATAACGGGGCGCACTGCCGTCGTCGCAAAGGTGGTATCCCATTTATGCGCTGTACCAAGCTCGTGGAATATATGTGGATATATCATCATAGGCGACATCTAGCCTCGTTATATATTACCGTCAGCTTACCGGAGAGATTATGAGCGAACGCATCATGGCCCACCCCCTTCAGAAGAACTAAGGGACTAAGCCTACCAGCTGGACGGTCCCTAAATGAGGAATGCGGGGACGTTCGATTATCGTTCGACTGCTTAAGGAGTGTTAAAGTCAATCTCATTCAGGTTAATATCAGTGTACAGACCACGCGTGGTCTGCTCATTCCAACTAAGATGAAAGACATTCGAAGCCAACTATAGATCGCAATTGTCATACTCTCCTGTAATGTTGTAGCCCGATTACAATAAGTTGGTTCCCCTGCTGATGTTGTTCTGCTGTCTCATCCCTCGGTTCTCGATGTTCTGGGTGTTGCGTTCCACACCTGGATTTTCAATTTCGTGGACCTCTCCGAAAGGCTTAACGTTGTTCACCCTCCACGGCTACCTCGATGTTTTCAATGTAGACCGCAACTCAGATGTCCCGGTGTTCGCCTAAACTGCTTATCTTCATTATGATATCGGACCTCGGGTCTCGGATACTGTGTGGTAGCTTGCTCCTCGAGCCGCCGCTGCTACTCTTCAACTTGTTACTGCTCTTCGAGTTGCTGCGTTTCTTCAAGTGTTGGCGATGCGCAGAAATTTGACAGGGTATACGTATGTACTATTGGAAATTGATCATCATTGATTTGCTAATGGTTTGAAACTGCCTAGTGTCGCCTTTCTCTTGTTTGAAGTATTCCATACATCTTTGCTCGTGATTCGGTGGTAGCAACCTTTAGTGCTCTCTTCTTATATGCTTCCGCTGTGGTAGATTTCACTCTCTGCGATAGAGGAATATTAGACTCTGACAAATACATGTCCTTATATAAGCTCTCGGTAGTCTGGGGAGGGGCACTAGAGCATCCAACCTCAGCTACAGTAGTCGGCCCCTGCTTAAAAAGTTTAGAGGGACTATAGTATACGTTGCCTCCAGGACTTTATTTATCCTATAAAGTAGGGCACACGTTTGACCTCGTTAGGCCTGAGAAAAGGCCTGCAGGAGCTCATTCTTCTGCCGGGTCAGGGCAGTCTTCAAGTCGGTCTTGGTAACTGCTTTTTGACCTTCAGTGGGAGGAGGTTATCGCCATCAGGGACCAAGGTGCCAAATTCTTGAACGTCGTTTGGGTCTGGTAATTAATTAAACGGGGTATTGCTTAGCGACGTCTGAGAAAGGCTTTCAGCTCATAGATAGATCTAGGTATAGAAATTTCAACAGGATGATGTAGGAGATGCCACCATGTTGCCTATATTGAATCGGAAGGTACCTTAGTTGCAAAAGTAAAAGAGGACAAAGATGAAAGAGGAGAGGAATTCCGAGCAATGTAGCAGTTTCCAGACAGCGTTTACGAGAAGACACCCTTGTTTAATTAGCAACATGTGAGTAGAGCTCCACAGTACGTACCGAGATGCTGCTGAAGCCCAGGTCTTCTTATTGAAACGCACGAAACGGGCAAAGCAATGGAGAAAGTAGACCAGCTTCGGACTGGTGTCACTTTTGACTCTATATTAGTGACGACGGAAAATACCGTTGGGAAGTAGGTAGCAGGCAGTGTAACAGATCCAGATTGAAACAAGTGAGTGGCCACTGAACGTGATTTCTACGGGACATTCCGTCATGAGTGTTCCGATGGGTTTACTCTGATAAAACGATAGGATGGAAATAATGACGAGGAGCCAGTTAGAAGAGAAGACTCTCGAGGTTTGGT